GGCGAGGAAGAGGAGCTCGTAGTTGCTACAGAGTCTAACGTTTCCCTGGATGAGCTATCATTTGTGATAGTCGGACCAAATTGTAGGCAAGTCCGCGTCCGTTGTCAATGGGAGCTGGCCTTGTAATACGAGCCTACAATATTTTCTGAATGTAAAACAGAGTACCTTTCGCTCCTTCATGTGTGACCGGACGTCCGTGTGTCGACGAACAGGGTCTGCAAATCGCCACCGCGTTCACCTTTGGCATTGCGAGAGCAGTGTGGGCGGGATCATCTGGACGCGACATTGCCAGCAGATAATAGATAAAACAACCCATTACAACGACAGAAATGCCCCAGCGTGTACACACGGCCTGGAGATACAGAGTCAGAGGAATAAAGAAGAGAAACGTTCAAAGGACGAAATATTGCTGGCTTAGCTGTGAAGACACATAGCTCCAGACTCAAGCAGGTCGAAACTAAGCTCGAGGTCGCCGAATCAGGAATCATGAAGCTGCTTTGCTTCTCGCATCATCTTCCCTGATATGAACATCCTGTGCTTCGGATGATTGCCAATTGTGATGCCTTCCCCTAGTGAGGGCCGAGTAAATGGCATAGGTCTTCTATGCTGAGACGAAGATGACGGTACTGATCGAGTAGCAACTAGTCCTGCCTTTACCATCTTCTGTCGCAAAAATAGCAAGATCACCGACCTGGCAAATGCTTCGCGAGCAAATCTTGCATAAGAGAGCGGCCGCGGGTTAGTTCAGGCATAGTTTCTGGAGCGTGTAAGGTCTTCCAGTATGCCGCACACTGCTGGAATTCATGTTCTGTTCGATGAGTCATCCTCAACATCTGTCGACAAACTTGCAATGTCGCTTACCGCTCGGACTCATTCGATGCAATATTCTTTCCAGGACTTTGCTGCACTCTAGACGTTCTGGCAGCAATGCTAGGAGTTGAATAGCGATAGGAAGTCGCCAGTGCATACCATACTCTGACGCAATGTCAAGGGCATCGTCCAGCAGCTCAAGCGACGCCGGCTGCTTTTCCCGAGCTATCTGTATCGTATCTCGCATTTTTTGGACCGGTATGACCCACCGACCTGCATCCTCGCCATCGCGTGCACTTTGAAAGCCGTCGTGTAGATGCAAGAGGCCTTTGTAGATCAACACGTGAGCGGAGACCGTGCTGCATTTGTCATCGAGTCGGAGAGTGCCCTGCGACAGGTATTCGCCAAAGTATAAAACGCCTTCACGTTGCTTGGCCATTTGTTTAAGCCCCCTCGTTGCGCGGCTGTCGAACTGTTCGAACGCCGAGATAAGGTCGGTATCCCGGATGAATGTGTCTGCGGGTAACGCTTTAGTGTCTACCACGAGCAGGTGAATATCGTCGAGAGAAGACTTGTCGTCCATGTCGTAATGCCTGTAGAATATGTAGCGGATAAGAAACAACATGCTACTGGACCAGGATACTAAGTTGTCCCTTCTTCGTGCATCTCCTTGGTCTCTTGCCCACCACATGTGGTCTGCAATGAGTCTTGCAGTCACTGCCCGAGTTTTGGTGGCGAAAATATCCTTGTTGCTCCCAGGTATTTTTAACGCAGCATCTCGTGAGGATGCTCTTGTCTCATCCGTGAAGCCGTCCGATCGAGGTGTATAGACGCGGAATAGAAAGCGC